GGGTGTGTGCTGTTGATGGTAGCCATGCTGCACCTGCCCCCACAGGCCCTGCACCAAGCTGGCACAGCCCAGGCCTCCCGGCACAGCCCTGAGGCTGGGTACCGCCTGGACTTTGAGGAATCCCAGGAATGGGTGCTGGAGTCGGAAGATGAGGACCAAGAGTACAGCCCACTGGAGGGCCTGCCGCCCTTCATCTCGCTGCGGGAGGACCAGCTCCTGGTGGCTGTGGCCTCACCCAGGGTCAGAAGGAACCAGAGCCAGGGCAGGAGAGGTGGCAGCTACCGGTTCATAAAGCAGCGGAGCAAGAGGCTGGACCAGGAGGCCCCAGAGAGGGACTGGGGAGCCGAGGAGGAAGACCGGGAGGTATCTGAAGAAGATGAGCTGACCCCGCTCAACCTGGAGGTGGCGCTCAGCGCCCGCATCCCCCTGCAGAGGGCGCTGCCCGAGGTACGGCATCCGCTGTAAGTAAGGCCATTTCTTCCCATTTCCCCGGTACTGGGGTGCTGTCAGCAAACTTTCTGCATTCTGCCTCCACTGTCCCTAGGGCCACACTTCTTAAAGGGGGGCTGCTGGACCAGCAGCAGCACCATTACCTGAGACCTTGTTAGAAATGCAGAGTCTCAGACCCTCCCAGACACACTGAGTCCGAAACCCTGGGTGGGGTCCCAGCCATGACCTGTAACCAACCAGCCCTCCGGGTGAGAACCACTGTCCTAGAGAACAGAAACAAGCAGCTCTTACTTATTCCTTCTCTTCCCCGACCTGGGTTCTAGTGCTTCTGTGTCTGGATTATTCCGTCAAACAGAGGGGACTTGGAGCAGATGTTCTCCAAGGCACCTTCCAGTTCTAATACTCGGACTCCAGTGTATTCTGATATTATAATTGTTGTTAGCATTTGCTTTTATTTCGGATCGAAATAACAGTTGCAACGAACATTTATGTGGCTCTTGCCATGTGCTTGGCTTTAATCTAAGAACTTTTCATGTATTAACTCACAAAGTCCTTACAACTCTATTGGATGGGAGTTATTTTATAAGTATGAAAATAAGACACAGAGAGACCAAGTGACTTCCCCACAGTCACACAGCTAGTAGGTGCCAAAGTAGGGATTTGAATCTAGGTAGAAGCTCCAGTCTGCCTGAACCACCACTACACGCTACCCTCCTTAGTCCACTAGACTAAGGGGACAATTCTAACACCTAAGAGCTGAAATACTGCACCCATGCAGTCTAATGTGGCAGGGTGGCCCCACCCTCGGGAGCAAGCTAGGAAATGTGATGACGCGCAGGCTGTGCCCAGGGAGGCAGAGGGCTCGTCCTGTGCACACCGGCCCTCCTCCACCATCGCCATGGCCGGCTGCACTGAAGGGGGCCTGGTTACCAGCATCCAGGGGCAATGCAGCTGGTTAGTTTGGGTGATCTAGGTCCCTTCCCTAAAGCCACTGCTCTTCCCAGAGCCCAGAGAGTTTCCTGGGAAACAAGTGTATCCTCCAGCCCTCTGGGTGAGAGGAGCCATGTAGAGCAGCAGTTGGGAGCAGGACCACATACTCCTCAGATCCCTGATGGGGTCCCTCTCAGCCTGGCTACTGAGCCACCACTCACAGGGTCCTGCAAATACAGGACAGCACGAGAGTGACACCTCCTTACATTGTGAGCCTGGGTGCCTCGCTCCCCTCCCCCTCGTTCCAACCCTGCTGTTCTGACTTCAGGTCTTGGCTTAGAAAGTTCTTTTCAGGAAACTCCCAGACCCAGCCAGGCCCACCCCCTTGCAGTTTTGTGTTCCCTGGAGTTTTAACTCATAACACTCATTACAAAGAAAGCTAAATAGCATTGATGTGTTGGTTAGTTCAATGCCTGCTTCTCTGCCATGCAGTGAACCCATAGGTCTAGCACACAGTAAGGGAATGATTGCTGAATGAGTGAATAGAGAGTTTTCAAATTCTTTTCATACAATTTTTTCATTGGCCTAGAGATAGAATGAGTATCCTTATTTTGCCAAAAAAGAAACATTGCTTCAAACGAGAGGTCTCTGGTTACCAAAGGAGTGTGTGTGTGTGTGACTATGTATGTCTCATTGTGCAAGTGTGCCATGCACATGCATATTTATGGGTTCATTGTGTATGTGTGTTTGTGCATGTGTGTGTTGTGTTTACGTTGTGTTGTATGCATATTAAATAAATGCTGTGCATATATGTTTTATGCGGTACATGTGTCTAGTGCATTATATTGTGCTTGTGTGCCCAGTGCCTGTGCCCGATGTGTATGTGGTATGAGGTGCACAGGTATGAGTTGCATGGTGTGCTGTCATGTGTACACATGTGTTATGGTTGTGTCAATGTACGTATGTGTTGATATGGACATTGCAATGTGTGTGGTACATATATGTATTGTGTGTTTTATGTTGTACCTGTGGTGTAATGTGCACAAGTGTATCATGTATGTGTGTGCATATGTGTTTTGTAAGGCGATGTTTGTTTTGCATATGCTTGTATGGTATGTGTGTGCATGTACATATTGTGTTGTGATCGTGTAGCACATGTATGATATGCTGTGTGTATTATGTGAGTGTGTGTTTTGCATGTGTGTGTTACAAATGTATTGTGTGAGTGGTATATGTGTACATCTGCAAATGTGTGTTATGCATGTGGTATGAAGTGCATAGGAGTGTTGTGTGCGTGGTGCAAGTGTGGGTGAATTTTGTGGCATGTGTGTGATGTGCACATGTGTATGCATGTGTTGTGTGCGTGTGTGTAGTACACATGTGCATTGTGTATATTGTGCATATGGTGTTTTATGCACATGTACTGTGATATACTACTTGTTTTTTGTGTTTTTGTAGTATATGTGTGCATGTGTATTTGTTGTGAGTGTGTTGCACATGTGTATTGTATGCGTGTGTGCGGCATATGTATTATAATTGTGTTGTGTTACACGTGTATATGTGCAAGTGTGGTGTGTCATGTTTGTGGTGTGAAGTGCATGTGTGTGTGGTGTGAGCATGGGTAGGTACATTTTGCGTTGTGTGTGATTTGCACATATGTATGTGTGCATGTGTGTGTGCATCACTTCAGTGGTTGCCTTTTCAGGCCAGAGTAACCAACTCATCTCAGTTTGCCTGAGACTTTCCCGATTTTAGCACTGAAAGCCCTAACAAGTCTCAGGCAAACTGGGACAGTTGGTCTCTCCACCCCCCAGCTTTCCAGGGTTCTTGAAGGACTGCCCTAGCTCCATTGGGAGGTGTGTGGCGCCCTCTGCTGGCTGGAGCCCATCCATGCAACCTGGGCCTTGGTCCCCAGTCTCCCCTTTTCCATCTACACTTCAGAGACTGGGGTCTTCCCTTCTCAGCACCCCTCCAGGATACACAGGGATTCTCTGCAAAGTGAGGCAATACCCCCACCCCAGGGTGACAGGGCTCTCCTCCTGCCACCACTTTAAAACTGGACCAAAATATAACCTATAAAAGAACAGCCATGTATTAACCATCTACAGGTCCAGAACACTAGACGTCCTGCAGCTCTGCCTCCTGCTGCAGCAAGACACACTACCATCTGCTCCAGAGCTTCTTGCAAGCCCATCGTTGATTCCTAACCCGGACAAGCCCCACTGGCCCCAGTTCCCGCACCGAAACCCCCACCCAGCCCTGGCCTTTGCTTATTTCCCCCGTCTGGTCCGCAAGCCTTTTCTGAGTACCTCTGGGTCATTGCTAGAGGTCGGTTCGAAAAGGGGTCATGCGAGGTGAGTTACCAATAATGTAAGACCAAAACAAACAAAAAAAGTCAATGTAAAAGATCAAAAAGTTGCCTCTGGAAAGAGAGATAAAACTATAGCGAACATTTATTAAGCACTTACTATGTGCTAGGGTTTCTGCTAAGTGGTGTTCATTTGTTTAATCTTTATAACAAACCTATAAGGTAGGTAATATTATCATCTCCATTTTATGGATGAGAAAACTGAGGCACAGAAAGAGGAAGGGACTGGGGCCAGGTTATCTGACCAGGTGCGCCTGACACCACAGCCATGCTCTCTTCACTACCATCCTGTACTTTTTGGGTAAGTCACATGGGCTGGAAGCATTTCAAGTTTTTCCATCCATACAATGGAGAGAACTCACACTGGTCCACAGAGAGACACAGAGGAGGATGTTTATCACAGCGTCCTTGGTGGCACTGAGGAGTTGGGGACCAACTCACACTGGTCCACAGAGAGACACAGCGTCCTTGGTGGCACTGAGGAGTTGGGGACCACCTGGGTGTCTCATCACAGGGCACTGGCTGGATGCAGCCCAGAGGTTCTCTGCCAGGAGGGGAAGAAGCGACACCCTTCTCAGCGTACACTACTGATAGAGAGAGACCTTCAAAGTATCACACTGAGTGAAAAAGACACAGAAAAAGGGCTGTAGCACACCATCATTGGGCGAAATGTGTACTCCAGGCACACTGACAATCCGTTCTTTATAAGAACAGATGAAACACGATGGAATGGATGTGCTGTGGGGAAGGGAGGGTTCTGGAGGCGGGGGCAGGGATAAAAGTGAATGAATATGCAAATGAAATAAAGAGAAGGACCCATGATGAAGCCGCAGGCTGAGCACTAAGGTTGACTCAGCCCTTCAATACTGCTGTCAAAAACACGGTGGAGAGAAACAAGCCTTGCCCATTCATCCTTGTGTGGCATTGACAGCTCTTCTGGGCCCAGCTCTTCTTTGATCATCCTGGCATCCAGCGTAGGGCAATTGATGTCCAGGATCAAAGAGGCTCCCAACTGAGAAAGTGCCTCGTAGTCTTTCCTCCAGGCTTGGGCTCTCAAACTAGAGTGTGCTTCAAAACATTTAGAGAGATATAATTTTATTAACCAATGGGCCCCAATAAATTTAGTCAAAAAAAAAAAGAACACTTAGAGGGTTTGTTAAAAATACAGATTCCTGGCCTCCGCCCCTACAGTTTTAGACTCAGTAGGTCTAGGGTGAAGTCTAAGAATTTGGTTTCTATGAGTTTCTGGGTGATGCTGCTGATGATGATCTCGGACACTCTTTATGCCAAACAGGTTGCACAGAGCTGTGCTTCTCAAACTGTAATGCGCATGCAGATCACATGGGCATCTTGTTAAAATGCAGAGTGTAATTTAATAAGCCAGGGGTGCAGCCCAGGATGCTACATTTCTATCTAGCTCTTCGTTGGTACCAGCACTGCTGGTCCACACACCATCACTGGTTCTCGAAGGACATGCATCTCAGATTCCCCTCTAATTGCTTGTTTAAAACGTAGATTTTCAGAGCCCATCACTAGAGACTCTTCATAGTTCTGAGCTGGAGCCAGTGATCTGAATTTTTAAAAGCTGATGCAGGACAGTTTGGGGAACCTTGGGTACAAAAGCTAGTGAAAGTGAATGGAGAGGTAATAGAGTCCGGGAAGGTTCTATGGAGGAAGTGGTACCAGGATTGGAAACTAGGGAAGAGAGGAAAC